CTCTTCTTTAGCATCCTTCAGGTTCAAATTATCCTCTCTTCACCCCTTCCTCTCCATTAAAAATCCAAGCATCTTCTTTGTCTGCAATGAGCCTTTCATCTCTTCCTGAATTTGCTTCATCATTTTTTCTTTGCTGGAAAAGTGGAACAAGTGCAATGTCCTCACATTCCTCCAGCCCTCATCTGTCTATTTCAGCAAATCCTTACTAACAAGAATGGATTGCTAAAAGAACTCTAACTATTATGAGATCCAAACAGCAAACATAAACCTCTTGGGTACATATTTTAGAAATTCATTCTGTAATTTCATATTGTTTAGCAAAACTGAAAGTTTTTCCATTTCAATCTAAAAAATTATTGAATGACATTAAACCCATACGCAAAGATGCGACAAAAGAAAGAATTAAAAAAATAATAAAAATCATTATCAAGACGAAAAAAAAATCAATTTTGAGAGCCCATTCATGGAAGAAGATTCAGTTTCCATGCCTTTTAATTTTTTTGTTTGTTTGCTGGTCTTTTGCTGTTATACAGTCCATAAAATATAGAAACTAACCGCGCCTATGAAATCAGCTTCAGACAATATTGTTCATCAATCTAAAGGGCTAAAAACTTCTGACCAAAAAAATGGGGTAAAAACTTGATTAGAAAATCTCATAGCCATTGGATTTCACTGAGGAAACTACAAATTTTGCAGCCAAGACATCAAATGTTTGGGTTAAGATCTCACATGGACTTTCTCATCTCAAACCAAAATGTGTAAACAAATTATAAGAATAAATTGTAATTCTCACTACTGTATCACTAGATTGACAGTGGTATAATCCTCTAGAAGCGGTATTTCCACTTGGAGCTCAACTCAACCTTAAACTCTAATCCGTGGACTTTTTTCTATTTGGTTTCCTTCATAGGCTGTAAAAAAGATATTGCAGGGACTAGAAAGAGGGAGAATGAGGAAGAAAGCTTTTTTTTTTTCTTTCTGTTCACTGATGGATGAGGAATTTTTTAAGATTAGGTAGCTTTTTTATATATATTTTTTGTTCTGGAGAACTTGCCCAGAAAGATGGTGAAGAGAGTTTTGCCAAAGAAGAAGATGAAGGTTGCGTGGGGTGGGTCGGGTGGCCTTTGGGAAGTGAAGAAGATGATGCATATTGAAGAAAAAGGAGAGAGAATGAAAAGTTTTAAAGAGTTCAAAACTTTTTTGTTAGTTCCAATGTGTGTATTAATTGTTTAACAAAGAAGCTAATAATTTGTTCTAAATGCAATCTTAGCCATTGAAAACTCTTCAATCTAATGATTTAAAACATGTGCCATAATGTGTGTCCCCCGATCCTGACCCTATATATATAGGCTACCTACATATATATATATATATATATATATATATATATATATACAGAGAGAGAGAGAGATCAGACAACAGATTCAGTTACAAATTACAATACACAACTAATACAACATTCAAAATAAGAGCCAAGCCACAAAAAAAAATGATTACCTTGTAGCTTCTGGACCAACAGCTTCACACAGCTCATATAATTGATTTGCAACCATATAACGAACACGCCAAGACTTATCCTGGTCAAAGAACCAAGTTTACATCACGTATAATGGCAAGAGCACATCAACAAACAATAAAGGTGCTGGCTATAGTCTGGAATACCATTCAAAAATATGATATACCTGTGAAAAATTAACAATGACAGGAAGAATATGGGTCACACAATCTTGTGGTTCCAACAACTTCCCAAGAGCTGCACAACCCTCTACTGCCAATAACCGAACAGAATCCTGATCTGAAAACAAAAGTGATTAGAGACAAATTCATATGCAACACCAACGCTAAATTTTGGTCAAAACCTTGTAAAGCACTCAAATTCATTAGATTTATACTTCATATATAATAAACCAAAACAAACAAACGCACACCCAGGCAGTGGTAGGCCAATAAAAGACTGTACACGGGAAAAACAAGAAACAATTCTGGAATATGAATGCATAAAGGACGGTGAAGAACTTCTATTCTTTTACTAATTTCTCCAATCAATTTTATATCTTTCCTCTATTTTCACATAGTTAAGAACAAGAAGTGGTATATGTTAACATTTGTGATCCCACAAAATTAAGCACAAAAAAATTTTGCATGAATATTAATGGATATTGCTCTATCAGAAAAAGAAAAGCAAAAGAACTAACATTGAAGAGCAAAAACCAGAAATTTCACCACCACATACCATCCTGCGTCAAATCCTCAAATATTGACAAGATGTCAGCTTTGAGGTGTGCGGCTTCTACAGTCGCAGCAAATTTTCCTAGGTTAGTAGCAGCAGATCTTCTAACCATGGGCATGTCATCTTGGCACAGTTGACTGTATGTTGTTCTTAGTTCAGTCTTTAAAGTCTCTGGGGCACTAGGATAAGCAATATGAAACAAACCACAGGATGAAACTCGGGCTGTAAACCATTCGCCAGCAGCAAGTCTCTGTATATTTGAAATGATAGTGTGGAAAAAGAAAGAAACTGTTACTCTAACTGCACCAAGGTACAAAGCATTCTCATATGGAAAATGTGATCAAAAAATAAGTTCAAGTAGATTTGTGAACTGTTACATTTATTGAAAGGGGAAAAAAGAAAAGAAAATAAAGAATCAAACTTTGTGAACCTACTACCCTTTTACAGACATTCCACAACTCTATGCATGGGAATACCAGATCAAACCATAAGATCATGTGTCCACAGCGAAAGGGTAAGGGTCCCATCAATTTTTCTTCTGGATGCACCTTGATAGATGTTCCACTTCTGCATGCACCTTGATAGATGTTCCACTACTGTAAATGAGCCAAAATGTCATCTCACAGTGGCGGAACATCTATCAAGGTGCATGCAGAAGAAAAATTGATCCCACTAACCAAACCTTCATGAACATAATAAAATTATAGTGTGACATTTATAGTTAATCTGGTTGCCAAGCATAATTTCTAAAACGTTATCTTCTCCTTGCTGGATTTCCATTTCATATACAAACAATATCTTCTGCACTCCAATTTATAACTTCAAAGCATTCCACATTTGGGGATACAGTGATCTGAGAATCAAGTTTATAAATTTTCAATGCATTTGTAAACTAGGCAAAGACTTTAAGAACATATCACATTGAGGTCTCACCTAGGGTCAAGTTTTTCTTTAAAACTTTCTACTGCCTTAGTATCAACAAATGTTATATTGTTCAAGCACTAAAACCAAATGACAAGGCAAAAAACTCAAATTAAACAATCGAAGAGAATGAAATTATCCGACCTTAACCAAAGGAATGAAATACTCCACCAAGTCCTTCTCCCTCATCTGCACCCCAATTCTACACAATGAATCCACCGCTTTGTCCCTCACACATGTTTCCTCAACAGTACAGAGCGTTTCCAAAGGTGGGAGCAGGATGTTGGCATACTCTACACCGCCTACATATGGGATAAACACCCCCAACTCTTCTGCCATTGCCAGAAGCACTTCATCATCATCATCATTGTTATCGCTGAGGAAAGGAATCAGTTCCTTCCTGGTCCTCTCTTCTCCAAGTGCACGAGCAATGGTGGAGAGCCTGCGGATTGAGTTCAACCGGAGCTGGATGTCTTCATTCTTGAGCTCGTCGATTAAAACCGCAATTGGGTATAAAGGTTCATCCACCATAGCCATCTTTTGCTACAAATTATATGCCTTTAACTGAAAACAAAGAGAATTTTGAAATACTTAGAAAATCCACTTCTACATCAGATACATGTACATGTATTTAACAATTCCCTTGGCAACCAAACCGATGGGCATATGACAAGTGATCTTTTTACTCACTAATTGGAATAAATTCCATATCTATCTAAAAAGGTTACGGTACTTCAGAAAATTTAATAAAGTAATGCTTACCCGAAAACAAAAACAAATATTTCAGCCCAAAAAAAAATATAAACAATTTCCAATCAATTTCCAACAAGATCCATCATCCATGCAAATGGTTCATAATTACAAGAATACATTACTTTGACGGTAAGAAAATGACATCTGAGAAGATCAATGAATGGCAAATCGCAGATATGTGAAAGGAAAACCGAGGCATGAAATTAATTAAAAATAATAACAATAAATAAAGTACAAGAAATATACAACATAAAAAAAGCAGAACAAGAAACGAGAGAGAAATAGGTACCTGAGGGCTTGGCTGGAGAGCCCGATCTAACGGAGACTGTGTTGGAAATGGGACAGATCTTTTGGGTGAGAACCAGAGAGAGAGAGAGAGAGAGAGATGTGCTTTGTTTAATTTTCCGTCAGGCTCGGGGATTTTCTTCTTCCTTTTTGACCAAACAGTTTACACCAGGGGCGAGACCGGATCCCGCCCGACCCGCCACCCGATTTTCTTTCTTCCGTGCCCCGACCGAATTTTGCTTTTTTTCCCCATCTTAACAAAAAAGAAATAAATAACATTTAAAAAAAACAAAAGAAACAATAAAATACAATTCCCTTTTTGGCCCCAGTTTACAAAAACTCGTGAAATAATTATTTTATTTTCTAGTTTAAAAATTAACATATGTAAGAAAGGGTTTGGAGCTCGAGCATCAAGGTCTTGTGTTTGAATCCCCAATATCGCTTCATGGAAGAAAGTCGTAATTTAAGGCATGTTTTTCATTATATGGTTACCAGTTGAAACTAGGGAGATCAACAACTGAACAGGAGTAAGACTCATTCACTAAAGATTAAAGGCCGGTTTGTAACACAGCACAGGACATGCTTCTGTTTTGGTAAAGATAGAGAGTTGAGACAGATCACACAAAGAAAAATAAACTACAGAATCATCATTAAAGCGTGTAACTCCCGAGTTATCTTACAATATATAGCGGAGCTAAAACTAAAAATGCCAACATCAATATGCAGTGTTAGTCAGAAACATATTGTTTCATATCCATTCTCATTATCCCCATTAATGCTCTGTGTAATAATGCTAATCGTAGCCTGCAAATTATCTAACCCCAACCACATCCCCCCCACCCCCCTCACGGGGAACCGAAGGCATCGACATATCCGTGATTATATGCTCATCTTTGTCAACTAAGAAAGCAAGACTGTTCTTGTGAGTAATGTCAGCAGCAGCAGCAGAAATCAGTGGCATTGTATTCTATAACTGAACTAACAGCAGGTTAAATAAAGCAGAATAGTACGAGATATGTTGATTTAGGATTTCAGACAGTTGAGCAATCTGGTCCAAAACCTGCGAGGTGGCTCTAATACTTCTGGTGATTCGACAGGTTCCTTGAAACGTGCTTTCTCACTTAATTCTTCAAATGAGTCGACAAGATTTTGAAGCCTTGCAACAAATTCTATCAACAGGGATGTAAATGTGGCTAACGACAATTGACTAGCATTTTCGTAGGTATTGGATTCTTCTGCTACTGGAGGTTCGTTAACCTCAAATTTCAGTCCTGCAGGCCATGAAACCTGTTTCATGAACATGCTTCCTGAGGAAAAACCTACGGGTGGGTTGGAGCGGTTGACATCAGTGGGTATGGGGCTCACGCCAGTTGGCATCGCAGGCATTTGGCCATCCCAACTTTGTGGCACAGGAAAAGATCTGAGATCAAGCACAGCTTCACTAAGGGATTTGTATTCCCGGAACGTATTTTCGTCATCATCCAAGTTCAATAAGTCTTGAGGATCTCCCACCTCCTTTGGCCGACTTCCAATCTCCCAGCTTTCTGAATTAACAAGAAGGTATGACTTATGGTCAATTTTCTTTTGTAACTCCTCTGCAGCCTCATGCACTTCGTTGAGTATATCTACAGAACCTAGTTTCTCCATCTTTTTCAGTTTGTTTCCAAGTTCACGTAACACTTTAGCACCTTCGAAACCAACTCTTTGGAGCTCCCTACGAAATACTTGTCTTCGTTCAGCAGGAGCCTACATACACAAATGTTGGAAGTTAAATAAAAATAGATTATAACATGTCAAATAAAAACACAAATACGTACAGATGGTTCAGGAAAATTACAATTACTCTTATCAAATGCATGAGGACCATTACAGTTGCATGTACATAAAACTAGATAAACATACCACCACAGGTTTCAATACTTAGCGAACCATGTGGGTTGTAGTATAAGATATTGAATTGCATACAACTAGTCTTCATACCCCCACACATATAGATCATTCAATGAGAGTTCTTCAGGACAAAAACACCAAAGATGACTTGGCAGGAAGAACTTTCCCAGGCATGATAATTGAGAAAATATTAAACTCTCAGGCAAAACAATGACCTCATGTTTTCATCTGATGCACTTCAAGATGCCCAGATAACCAAAAGAGTTGAGCATCCCATTTTAATCAATTCAGTGATAAGGTCAAACTTTTATTTTGTGCAGCCAACGTCTCATTGTATGGAAGATAAAGTTTTGATGAAATGTCAATATTGCATATTTGGCTCCAGTTAGGATGAGACCGGGCAGAGCATTTATCTCTCCTAAACGGGTGGCATATGAACTTGAATACCCGAAATGCACAAGGGTCAGTAGATATTAGCCGCCAAAATCAGAATTTCAATTTTTGAGTCCACAGGGAATACAACCACATCAAAGACCCCTCTTCTCAAAAACTTGGTCTTGTGAACTCTTTGCATATCAATGTTCTTTCACCACGACCACACCCCACCCCAAACCCCCCAAAAAAAACCCCTTTTACAGCCAAAAACTCTTAGAGCCTTGGAAGGAGAGAAGGTGAAAGCTGCATTCAAGGGCACAAGACGACTTGACAAAGATGGCAATGACACCAATTGAATAGCCAATGGGCCAGCAGACAACACAGAAACATTCTGATTGACAAAATCTTAAAGAAAAAGAACACAATGCAACCAAGCTATATTTGATGGCGAATATGCCATGACTGCCATTACTGAATGAGCTTCCTCAGGGCTCACGAGTGCCCCAGAAAAAAAAAACTAAAATAATGGTAACTACATGTCATTCATATTAAAGAACAAAGGTAGACCATGAGATATATTCAAGAAACAAACAAATCTATTAAACACCCAAAGTGCACAACTTATCTTTGAAGTCAAGAAGAGAAGGGAAAAAAATTACATGCTCTCAAGCACGGCTATCATATATTCTTTCCAGAGGTCTCACTAGGAAAAAATGGAAGAGTATAACCACCCATACTTGGGAAACCATAACCAAAAATCATTTGTTCATGCAAGGCCTTTGATTCACGATTTCTTCCTTTAGGAGAATAGCAAATCAGAAGGAAGGAACTACTTTTGGAATGAGCAATACTTTTAAAAGAAAAAAAAATTCCAGAGGCTTACATATCATCATTGTCATGCTACACCAAAGGATATACAAAAGCCCAAATAAATGAAAATACAAATACAGTATCTTTGTCATTAATTGCCTCACAATGTGGTTAGAGGTGGAAATTTTTAGTACCTGTATTTCAGAAAGTACACATCCATGCAATGCCATGACCGTAAATGCACAATGCCTTAGTGCACCACCTACTTTTACATAGTTCTTCCATGGATATTTAAACATTCTGTAACGACCATGAGGTGGCTCCCAGATAGCAAATCCCATCTTCAAACAAAAATAATGAGTTAAAACAAAAACCAAAAGAAAAATTCTGCCAATATGGTGAATTGCCAATGCATCACCATGTTACAACGAAGAATACCAGAGCGTCCTCTTGGCTGGTAGATTCCACAGCAGATCTGTAACCGCTGTAAAGCGGGTCATCGGAAGCTTGGTAGGTAAGAATCTTAGAAGGAACTCTCTCATATTCAACACAATTAAGGTAACCATTAACACAACCTAAAAAATGATAAAGATAGTCAATAAAGGAAATTAATTATGACAAAAGTGGGGTTTGGACTAATAAAAGAAAAATATTTTACAATATCCAACAAAAGCAAAGCATATCGTAAATCAACCTTCCAATGACTTTGCGACACCCATGAAATTCTTTACCACCAATTTATGCAGATCCTCACCAGCCCAGATGGGAAAAATGCATATATTTACTCCCAAACCAACACCAGCACCCAGTGCAATAAGCAAGAATCGTGACACAGCCGTATGGACAAATTCCCTTGTCCTATACCCAGATACCATGATGAAACAATATGTCAACAAGAACACTCGAAACCCATATTCATAAGGCTTCATTGTTGGGTATAGCTTTGCATAAGTTGCAAGAAACCCTAGCGACCAAATAACACGTCATGAAAATAAAAACTAAACAAAACACAAAATTAGCAATTAGCATACGTTGAGCTTTCCAGTGACATGCCATAAGAAAAAGTATATTGATTGCAAATTCAGACCTATGATAAAGATACTTGCGAAAATAACAGCTTCTTCCCACTCTCCAGCTAGTCCACATAAGTGCGCCATACCCAAAGCAAGGCCTCCAGCAGAAAATGTCCCTAACCCACGGTTAAATCCTTTGCTCAGAGTCGCTCCTGCAGAAGAACATAGCCACTGAATATAAGAAAGTAAAACAGACATAGGCATGTTCATGTTGGAAGACAACAGACTACACTGCAAAAAAAAAATTGCACTTTGAACTACGAACTAATTCAAGTTGAAGGCCCAGCCTATTAAAACAAAAGAAAGAAGATGGATTTAGTTAATTTAAAACAATTTGAAAAAACAAAAAGATGTCGGATGATTAAGGGAAGCTGTTCACCAAAATATCCATTCTTGTACAATAATAGCTTATCGTGAATAAACAAAAACACTTTAGTTTTACTTCATTATTGTAATCATGAGCTCCATGCTTTTTCCAATTCCCTTCAGGTGATTACACTGTCAAGCGTTCCACTTTATAACATACTGAACGTGAAAGTTGGTTTCTTTTCATGTGAACTACTAATGCCAACAATACTAACAAACAAAAAATTAAATCTAAAAAAAAAGACCCCCAATTTTGCCCAAAAAAAGTAAAATGCAACAAAACAAGAAACAACTATTTCTACCCGGAAACGCCCAAAAGCATAGGCACACGTGCAAATCGATGAACACCCAGATGATGAAATGACTAAATAAAGCCAAAATCAAAATGAATGGAACCAAATAGAAAAATACAATTACCTATGCTAAACTCAAATACTACCACAACAGTGAGGATGGCCCAGACCGAGTAACGACTGAGCTGCTTGAAAGGCTCTTTGAGGAAAATCAGCAACGAAATGATCATCAACGCCAGACCCATCTTGGCCGCGAATACGATCTTTCTCGGATCGGATTGACCCATCCGAATTGCCCGGTTAGAAACATTTTGTACAGTCCGGCACCAGCTCACAATTCTATCGGAAACTGATCGAAAAGTGCAGCAGCGAGGAGACCCATATGGCTCTTGTTCCTCGATGTGGACGAAGCCCAGTTCGGAGTAGCCCTTCTGGGTTGAGAGCAACCTCTCTCTTTTCTCTTGGAAATTGTACTTGAAAGAACCCAACTTTGCTGCCATTTTTCCAAGAGAACAGAAGAAAACAGAGGGAATAATGGAAATCTTGTAATACAACGATGGGTGTGAGAGAGCTAGAGTTAGAAATTCTCTCCCTTTATTTGTGGTTATACTGTTTTTGGAGGGATTAGAGCCTGAGAGTGAGAGACAATGTTTTGGTTTGGAATGGATCACAGTAAAACAACTATAAAGAAAGAGTCTTTTTGTGGTTCGTAGCTTACCAAATTATTTTTTTGGTCTGATGTCATGTAACTAGATTGAAGAGTAAGAGATAGGTTAAATAAAAGTAAATCAGGTACGGAAATTGTAAGAAAGTTTCACGGTTTCAGTTTTCAGTTTTCAGTTTTGTGACGGGGTAGAGGCAGCGCCGTTACTTTATCCGGATAAGACTTTATCATTGGAAAGAGTTGCGTAATGATGTAGAACTGGGAGATTTTTTTCTTTTTTTTATTCTTTTTTATAATTGAAAATTTTAATTGTACGCCACTCAAATTTAATAAAAAAGAAAAGCTGTGTGTAAAAAGAGAGTGTTTTTATTGTTCATAAACAACCAAATTCATGCGCGGCTTGTAGTTCAAGAAATTAACCCTATGTCCGAAATTCTGTATTTAAATTATTTTTCTCTAATATTGCTTGTATTTAAAATTAGAAAAAACAAAAGAAACCAACAACAGCCAGATCAGTCCGTCTCTAACATGCTTGGCTTGCTTATTTTCTTGGCAATATGACTGACAATCAACTTGACCAACCAGTTTGCACCATCTGCAGGCTTCTCTCTGCCCTCCATAATTTCTGTTTTTATGGCTTCATAATTAAATCGTCATCATGTGCACACAGCCGACTCCTTGAATTATTAGCACGTATGGGAACTTAGTATTAAAAAAAGTCCCACTTGCATATGCACTTAAACTTGAAGCGAAAATCTTGCTAAAATTTAAGAAAAAGTTTTACATCACACATGCATACAAGTGGTTTCAACTTGGTTGGGATGTGATATGGGATTACTCCAAGAAGTGATCAAAGGCGTCTGCTGCTGATCTTGGTTTTCTTCATCATTGGTGTTACTATTGTTGCTGCTAAGTTCTTGTATGTCCAGTATCTCAACTCTGCGATTTGTCTTCTTCCTTATCTTGATCGCTACGTCCTGTGGGATAAATCTGCCGAACACGCTCACCCTGCACTCCTTCTTCTCTATCAAATGTGTCTCCAACTCTATACATGCGTACATATATAATCATTAGTTAAGAAACAACATATATATACTTGTGTATGAGAAAATTAAGATACTTCTATCACACCTCGCATATCAAGAAGAGCTCTCCTTACTTTTCTGTAGCAACCATTGCAGTCAATATTGATTCTCATCAGCATGTAGCAGAACTGAACATGATCAAATATTTGTATCAGATCATGCAGATATCAGATACTGAATTAATATTGGACATTGTAATTCAATTTGAGCATACCTTGTCTGTCATGAAATGGTGATCAGAGAGAGATGTATTGCAATTGTTGCTTCAGAATCCAAAATTGGTCGAATGGACAACAACAGAAGGTTGATATTAAATGCCAATAATGCAATGGAATAATATAGAAAGCGAAAAAGGATCGATCGAGTATCATGAGCTGGTTATATATAATTCCGTTGATTCATGGAGTTCTGTTCATCTTGGAATCTGATTCTTCCCATGCAAAGATATATATATGTATAGGTTGGCAATGTGGTTAGTTTTTCTCATTATTCTTGACTTCTTTGCATTCTTTTGTGTTCCTCAAATGCACTAAGCTAACTAGAGCATCACTTTCTTGCTTCCACAGGGGCCTATGCCGACACAAAGGCATCACTTTTTCTCAACACCTTTTCCAACTGGCAATTAATGCCTTAATCTGGGTGAAACGCAAAGTTTATTTGACTCCAATATTAGGAATTTCTTTTTGGGATTCCAAAATTCTCTCTTTTCTCTTTTTTTATTTCTCTGGTCTGCATATCTGTCTGCAATCGAGTGATTAATGATATATAAACTAATCTGCCAATTACTTGTTTTATAAGACAACCAATAACTGCTTTATTCAATGTACAGGAACTTAGACATATGATTAAAAGTTTATAGGCTGCTCGCAGCAGGAACTATGAACCACATCTATTATTATAGTACAAAATAACTGTAAGCTTAGTGATCATGGCTTGAGGATTTACTTATATTATACACACAAAGAAAACATAAAAACTCAGGCATTTTTACATGGATGAATTCATTATAAAAAGGATTTTCAAGAGCAATCACAACGGATAGAAAATCTTGCAATCCTTGAAGCTTTGTGAGACAGTTTTCTACAGAAGGCAGACACATTTCTTAGAGATCCTTTATGGACTGATTTACGAGTGAGCGTTACCTTCTTATCTAGAAGATGTACCACCATGGACTCCACATCTGCAGAAATGCAGAACCCACATCAACAAATTATACGTAATTGGTCATGTATAATTGAAAGTTTGGTACCCGCAATAAGCTTCCATAAATTATCATTCTCACATATGATGGATGTTACATAACCAGGAACTTCAACCGAGTAATGGCTCCATGGAAGGCTTTAAAGAACTCTCTTACCATCAACATCTGAAATCACCTGGGAAGTCCACTTTGGCACTTGCCCCATCCTAAATCAGCAGCTATAACCACTCCCGGAATCTGCTCAATAAAATTATAATCAAGCATGAACTGCGTACCGACATCCATAAACTATCCATAATGTGTTTGAAAATAGTAAGACAGTGGGAACCAACCAGAGGCACCTCTAAGGTTGTAGCAGAAGCAGAGCTGGTTCGAGGAAGTAACCGCCTATTACTGCCCTTGTGAGTTTTTGGTGGAGCAAACTTCTTCTTAACCCAAAAAGTCAGAGACATGGCTTTGCTGTGTGTATCTTAGAAGCTCGGCAATGATAAACCATAAACCGTTACAGGAGAATGTGTGTATATATGCATATTACAAACCACGTTCATTGAAGTTACTTCACTTCAGTTCCACCTACTAATTAATAGAGTTGGAAGAGGTTGATTTTTCAAATGAATACAACCATTTTGATTGAGAAATCTGATCTATATGATTTTGAGCTGTAAAAGCTTTTAGGACTGCGAGATGGGATACATAACGTATGCATTCTTGATACTTAGGTTGACAAAAATGGTCAGTCCCCATTGATGGGGTTAAAAAAGAAAACTTCTTGCTCATTTTCTCTTTCCTTCTATTTCTTATTGAAAAACGGACGTACAAAGAATTAATGGACAATGAAATCGTAGTACAATGGTATGCAGGGAACTTGAAGTTATGGCCAGTGAGCATTTAATTTACATGGAGAAGGTGAACAAAAAACTCAGACTTGTTTACAATGCCTTGTAAAAATCAACAATTAATTTGCTACTTTCAACATATCCAAAGTAGATATTGAAGATAGAGAAATTTCATAGTAAATCAATCTTAGAGTTCAATTTTTTCTTTCTTTTTGGTGTGAAAATTTCACAGTAAATCAACAAAGACTCGAGTAATCGCCTAATAGTAATGAATAATGTTCTAAACTACTATTATCGATAAACGAAAATTGGGGAAAATTTTATTAAAAAAAAGGATCCCAATATATATATATATATATATATATACCGCTCAGAGTGGCAATACTTTTTTTTTACTATAAAAAAATAATATAAAAAAAAACGGGTCTATTTTCAAGAAAAATTAATGAAACCGCATATAGCCGACCGGCTATACCATTTTTTAAATATTAGAAAAAACCGAGTGTAGCCGCGCGGCTATACTATTTATATAAAAAAAGGTGTCAAAATTAGTATAGCCAGCCGCTAGACAGTTTTTTAAAAATAAAAAAACCCCAGTATAGCCGGGTGGCTATACTATATTTTTTTTTAGGAGGATCCGCCTAAAATAAGTATAGCCAGGCGGCTTTACTATTTTTTTAAAAAATAATAAAGTGTATGGCCGATCGGCTATACTATTTATAAAAAATATAAAAAGGACCCGCCGTTCACGTATCAAAACAAGTATAGCCGATCGGCTACACTATTTTTTTACGCAGTATAGTCGCGCGGCTATAATATTTAATATTAAAAAAATTAGTAAAAAAGGACTCTCCTAGTTGCATTAGTTTATACTTTATAGATATTTATTTGCTAGTTTCAACATATCCAAAGCAGATATTGAAGAGAGAATTTCCATAATAAATCAATATGAGAGCTCTATTTTTTTTCCTTTCTTTTTGGTGTGGCAATTTCACAAAAAATCAATAGAGACTCGGATAATGGCCTAATAATAATGGATAATGTTGTAAACTACTCTTATCGATAAACGAAAATTATAACATTGATCAATCATATTAATAAAGGAAACTCCTAGTTGCATTAGTTTAAATTTATCATCTTTCCGTGGCCATAATAATGCAAGGTTACAGGTAGCAATTGGAACATTGATCAATCATATTAATTTCGTAAATTGTTTTTCTGTTTGATTTGTTGAGGTTTGAACCTTAAAGATTACTTGATACCTTATTTGGATTAGATGGTTAAACGAGGAGAAGTTAATTCACATCAGTTTAGAAACTCGAATATCAGCAGATCATGACCAATATCTCTTGAAAATTGGCCTTTCGCAAGTACGAATCTCTTAGTTAGTTTGAATAGTTTTAATTGTTAGGAAGAAGAAGAACAATCAAGTTTGTTTTGTATGTCATTTGGACTGGTAAAGTTGGAAAATAGAGCAAGAAGTTCAAGCAGAACAACACACACCATGCGTGTAGCAACTGACACTCAAATCATGCAGCACATTCATCTATTTACATATTTTTGGAAAAGAGAGCAAAAATTGCATGCATGCACAATAACACACACACCATATATACATGAAACTCACACTCAAAACATGAACATTTCATATATTTACACCTTGGTAAATGGTAATCTCAAATTATTATTCTACATAAGGACATAACATGGTTTCTCTTCACAGCTCCCTGCTTCAACATCCTTTTGCCCTTTCCTCTCTGACTCTGCTACTCTTTCTCATTTCCCTTCTACCATCCATCCTTTCACAAGACCCCAGCTCCTCAAGCCCTACCATTGCTCAATGCACCACGCGGCTTCTTCCACTGGCCTCGTGTGTATCGTTTGTGCAAGGCACTTCCCAATCTCCGGCACAATCATGTTGTGACAACCTCAAGCTGCTCTATAGCCAGCAGCCAGACTGCCTTTGCCTTTTGCTCAATGACACTACTTTGAGCTCCTTCCCTATCAACACCACACGTGCTCTTCAGCTGCCTGCTCTCTGCAGCCTTCAAGTTGACATCTCTGCTTGTTCAGGTAACTTCTGACTTTGGAAAATATAACAAATATAAAAACAAGAGGGTTCTGTGATAATTCTGGTTTCAACTCTGTTAAGTAGAACTTAAACTTCAACACATGTTTATGCATTGTTTTAATTTTCTTTTTTTTTTTTTTTTTTTTTTTTTTTTTTTTTTTTTTTTTTTGGTTTTGTTTTTGCAGGGGTACATGTGCCTCGTAGCACACCTAGTTCTCAAGTTTCCTTTGGGACAAACACCAACTCAACTGCTGTTAACTCTACAATTGCTGGTATGTAAATATATCCATCTCTTACATTTGTGTATAATCCTTCTAATGTATGTAATGGTGTCTCAAAAAGAAATTAACTATCAGAAAATAGTAAGAACCCATCAATTAGGTTAGTCATTTTACTACTCCTTGTAGGTTCATTCCTTTGATTAAGAAAAAGGTAAATTGAAAAATCCTATTCAAGGCGTGAATTCTTGGGTTTATTATGATTCTCTATTTCTTTGGGTTTCAGCCTCTCCAATGCCTCAAAATGCACCAAGACCCAGCATGATGGGGTTAGGATTTGGCAGAACTTCAAGTGCTGGCACCAAATTGAAGATGGGCAGTTACCTTACGGTGGCGGCGCTGGCTATGGGAGATTTTCTAGTGACGGGAGTTCTATTTTCAGTATGATCATACCAGCATACAGGACTCAGGAGTACTATTTTCTGTGGATGGGTATTTTATGGTGTGTTTAGAGTTTTTATTTTATTTTTAATTAGAACCAGCTCAAGATTATATTTCACTATGGTTTTGTCTAAATGTTACCGGAACTTCAATTGATTTGAATAAGAACAGTGTTTTACTGCCAAATTATGTCCTTCATTTGCCTCTCTTTAGCTTAGCCTTTCTGTATCAACACCACATAATATAGTGGGGGAAATACAATTCAGAAAAGAAGTTTTACATATGGAACGTCACCTTACAAATTGAGATATTAAGTTTGACAGAAAGTTTCTTTGCCTAGGAGTGTATCATGTATCAGATGTAAATGTCTTTTTCATGACAGAGAGACTATTCCAAACTAGGAGCCACTTCGGTTGGGTTGGATTCGAAGACATCCGGGTTAGTTGCCTCTGGTTCTTCCAAAAACTCCCGAGACTGGAATGAATCTTTGTACACAGGAGTCTCCTTGAAATCAGTTGCTCCTTCATTGTAAGAAGTAGCAGCAACGAAACAAGCAATAAGCTGCACACACACACACCAAAACAGAACAGCATTAGCCTTGAGGGGTGGTTAGTGGAAGCAAAAGTAGGTAGTATTCACTTATGAGCTAGATTTCCCTACACTTTGTTCAGGAAAAAGATTCACTCAACTGTTATTAAACTTCTAATCTCAACCTTTGCATAAACAAAAAGTATAACCAAATAGAACTCCCTGAATTTCTTCTTCGGGTTTTCATCATATAACCAGTTCCAGCAGGTAGCTTTTGGCTAGTTAAGGAATCTATGAACATCATTCAAATCAGCAGTGGGGGGTTTCAGACATGAAGGTTAAAAGCTAGAATCAAAAAGGGCATGTCTTGAAATCACAGTTGCATTGGCCCTTGCTTGTGAAGGAGAGCATTTCTCCAACAATCACCAGAAAACACTCAGGTATAGAAGCAAAATCATAACAAAATCTGGAAATTAATCATTCTTTGAGCAGGATTTCAGCTACAACTGAATTAAACTATAATTGAGCAAAGCCCTAGTGATCACATACTCGAAACAGCAGAGACACAAAAATCATGAACCCAACAAATTAAGAGACCAAAATTTAACTAGAGTGGGAGAGAGTAGAGACATACCGCAAAGCCAATACCAAAAGCCCACAAGTACTCAACAAAGAAGCCAAGAAAGTCCCATTTTTCACCTTCCCAAAAGTCAGGTTCGTCACCCGGAAGCTTAGGCAAGAAATACCCATCATCAACATTGTCAACAGAAACACCACCATCAGCGTTTTCAATCTCAGCCGTCCGTTCTAGGCGCAGTGGGTCTTGTTCTTGGTCTCTGGTGGTTGTGGTGCCTCTCTTGTTCTTGCCATCGGACCTCCCAGTTCTGGACGTGAACCTCTTGGCTGACACCACGTGGAGGGTCCTTCTGGGGGAGAGAGGGAAGAGGAAGTGGCGTTGAGAGGAGAGATTGGTGTAGGGATGTCTGGTGGAGCTGCAGTACAGGAGCCTAGCTCCACCAGTAGCTCCACTGTTGGCTATGGTTAGAGCCATGAGTGGAGGAGAGTGAGAGAGTGCAGAACAGAAGCTGATCAGTGCAATCTTTTGAGAGAGTGTGTGGATGAGAGTGGATGTTGGTTTCTATATACTTGACCCGGTTTGCCTCCTTATTGTACCATCCAGTCCATTTCTGTAGGCCCAAATATATTTTTTGCTTCTTTCGAGCCCAAATATATTTTTTGCTTCTTCTGAGCCCAAATAATAAATCAATTTACTTTTATTTTTCTGTTAATTTTCTTTCAGCTTTTGATTGATTGGTACTTTAGTTTTCTAATCGATTGAGGAAAAATTACATTTCCTAATCTTTCTTTTCTTTTTTTTTGTCAGAAACAGTGCTTTCATTCCAGAGGGGGCAGCCAAAAAGCCAAACCCAGTAAAAATACAAAGCAACAAACAAAGAAGTCCAAGCCACAATGGGTACAACAAAACCAAAATGCAATACAATAGATAGACTATGAGGGGAAGAAGAAAGACACAGCAGCTCTAGTATCACCGCGTCCATAGGCCTCTTAGACAGAATCAGACTAAACATTTGTTGGAGGACATGGAAGGCCATCCTTATTCAAGATGAACGTGAGAGAGGATGGAGGCCTATAAGCCCAAAATTCGTTGCACATCCTCGACTTAGCAAGCTCTGCCAAGTGATTTGCCTCCTCATTTGCGATTATGAGAATCCAAGTCTAGCTACAATACCTGAACGCCAAGAGAAAATCTCTTATGTTACTAAGGATTGGGTAAATCTCCCACCTCCCCCGAGAGATGTCACCATTGATACTTTAACGGCTTCAAGGCAATCAGACTCAAAAGACACCAGTTGATCACCCTGATCCGAAGCAAATATGCACCATTCTAGGCACACTAAGCATTCAACCATTAGAGCCGAGTCCGCCTTAGCCAGAAAAGATTCACCTGCCAAGAACTGACCATTGTGGTCCTTGACACCCAATACCCACATATTTGGAGATCGGGTCTCAAGCCGCATCTACGTTTAATTTCACCTAGGGGTTGAGAGGGGGCGACCATGTCGTATTATGCACCAAGTTTTGGGGCCTAGGACTGCAGTTTGCTTGGCGGCTCTCCCTGGAGGAAAAGAACTCATTAGCTGCTTTTGAAGCCCTTTGGATAGTGTCCCTAAGGGAAAGGGAGGGAGAACATTGTTCCATTACTGCCTTGCACCTCTCCTTCCATATGTGCCAATAGAGGAAACATATTATGGTTTTGATCTCATCCCCATCATTCTGCTCCGTGCCAATAGTAGAGAAAGTATTGCATAGCCATACATCCAGAGTAGAAATAGAGCATTTATCTACTCTAAGACTTAATGGGATGCCAAACCAAACAGTCTCAATCCATGGGCAGAGAAGAAGCATATGCTCCACAGTCTTAGGGTAGCAATTACATAGAGGGCAGAGAAAAGTCTGGGTGCATCTTCTTCTGAAGAGGTTAGCAAATATGGTAATAGGATTCCGAAGCGCCCGCCACAAGAAGGTTTTTATTTGGGAGGGGGGGAACATTGGTTTTCCACATCATTTTCCAGCAATCGATGTCCACGGTCGTAGACGAAGAAAGGTGATGAAGGCACCTGGTAGCGTTCACATTATGAAGCCAATAATACCCAGATTTCACAAAGTAGCAGCCATTTCTATCTCGGGGTCATACCAGTCGATCTTACATCCTACCACTCCCAATTTGGACTGAACGAATGGCAGAAGCACACTCTGTAGATAGGGCATGAATGATGGGCTCTAGATTCCAATTGCCAGTGTCATGATCAATGATTGATTCTACTTGTTGATCCCGGTCCACCTCCACCCCTTCAACCGATTTTAGACTAGCATCCAGGAGGCAAAGCAACCATTTGTCCACCCAAACATGGATTTTATCACCCCTCATGACTTGCCAAGTAGCCGCACAAAGAAGTATGTCTCTTCTAACTAGAAGACTAGCCCAAGCCCAAGAAGCTCCTCCACTTTACTTGGCGTCTAGGAAGTTTCCGTGGGAAAAGTATCTGCATTTTAGGACATGGGCCCAAAGAGTGTTCGGCTCGTGAAGGAGTCTCCAACACTGCTTTGCCAAAAGGCCAAGATTGAACTCCTGAATATTGCAGAACCTCATTCCTCCATCCTATTTTGCTTGGCCCATAGAGTCTCAACTCACCCAGTGTATTATTCGTTCATCTGCCTTTTAACCCTACTAGAAATTAGCAAGGATAGAGTTGATTTCCTTGCACAGTGAGTTTGGGAAGAGAAAAATGTTCATCAGGTAAGTTGGCACAGCAAGGGCGACGACTTTGATAAGAGTCTCCCGGGCAGCCTGTGAGAGGAGTTGATGCTTCCAGCTCTAAACCTTCAGCTGGATTTTGTCTTTGACGAACCCAAGGGCATCCTTCTTTGCCTGCCCCCAAATAGTTGGGAGGCCCAGATATTTCCCAGGATCAGTTACAATTGGCATGTGAAGGATACCGCTGAGGGATGAAGGAATTAGGTCAGAAGTGTTAGAGCTGAAGTAGACACTTGACTTCTCCAAGCTCACTTGTTGACCAGAAGCATGGTAGAAGTCATGAAGGATTCTTGTGATGTTGTGGCAATTATGTACATTAGCCTTCAGAAAAAGTAATGTGTCGTCGGCAAAGAGGAGGTGCGACAGGAGATGTCCACCAGGCGCTAGTCTAATTCCCTTAATCAAGTTAGCATCACATGCATGTTTTATTAATAGAGAGAGAACTTCACTGATCTTTAGGAACAGATACGGTGATATGGGATCTCCCTGTCGAATGCCCCGAGAAGGGAGAAGTATCTGTCGGGTTTGTCGTTGATCACCACCACCGCAAACCTAACAGACTTGACGCAATTCATGATAAGCTAGATCCAAACTTCAGCAAAGCCCATTTTTTCCATGACAGCCCCAAGAAAATCTCACTCAACACGGTCATATGCCTTGTTCATATCAAGCTTTACGCCCATCTCAAATTTCTTGGTTGACTTTCTGAGTTTGAGGTAGTGAAAGACCTCATGAGGCACTAAAATGTTGTCTTGTATCTGTCGAGTTGGAACAAATGTGTTTTGAGTTGGAGATATAATAACTTGGAGGAGGAGATTCAGCCTGTTTGCAAGGACCTTTGATAAAATCTTGTATGAGTAGTTGCATAAGCTAATAGGTCTGTGCTGTGTCACGAGTTCTGTATTGGCCACTTGTGGAACAAGAACAATCTGTGTGGAATTTAGCTGCTGGATAGTGGTGGAGCCCGATATAAAATCAGTCATGATATCCTAAATTTCATGTCGAATTATCTCCCAATAATTGTGGTAGAAGACTCTATTGAAACCATCAAGCCCCGGGGCCTTAGTGCCCCCCATCTGGAAAGCCGCCTCATTTACCTCCTCAGTCGAGACCGGTTTCATCAGCTCCATATTCATCTCCTCAGTTACAACTGGGATTACACAATCAAGAATAGCGCCCCAGTCACGATTCCCATTTGTCTTGAATAGCTCAGTGAATTGCTCCTCAAAAGTGCTACGAATGTCATCACAATTCTGGGCCCAAAGAGTCGTTTCAAGTTTTAACTAATGAGATCCGATCCTTATTTCCAAGCGTTCCCAAATAATTTATTTCCATCTTGTGAAATTAGACATGAAAAATTTATCCTTAAAAAATTCAATCCGGTTTAATACATAATCATAATTTTGTATACAAGAAATGTCTGAAAAGTCGTCCATCAATTGGGATATCGAAATCTCACCTTAACACAAACATTGAATATCATCAATATAAATAGAAGCAAAGACATACATTAAATCATTTGAATAATGTATATTCAGTGATTACATATTGTTCAAAATCCACTGACGAAAGATAAACCCAAAAAAAATTACTCCCTAGTTGGTTTGTGATCTGCTGTGATCTGCTTGAAGCATTGAAATTTCTGTATTAGTAATTGAAAAAGTCCCATTTTCTGTTTTAAGTTTTTGAATCCAACCCAAACCCAAAAATTTAAAACGAATGTCAATTTAGGTGGGCAGAAGCAACAAATATCAACATGATGGGTTCAAATTCAAAATTTTCCATGTTCTTGTCTTTTACTTTGTGTCAAGTTTACAACCTATCATATAAACAGCTACACGTCTATCATGTACCCTGGTACAAAGCGGTCCGGGGTTGTAAACAAAAACACGCCCCCCACCGCCTTGCCGCCGAAACGTTCCTACAGAGCAGAGAGCGATTCGGTTCGCCACGAAACATCCGAAACGCCGCCATCCGAGTAATCAAACAACCCACCTAATGCCACGTACTCCGCCCCGCCATTATAATTGTTGTTCAAGTTACAGTCGCCACCAATTCCCAACTCAAACGAGTCGTAATTCGGAATGATGTCGTTCTCAAACCCTAGCATCCCGTCCAATCCAACCGCCTCCGAACCACTCGACGTAAAATCAGCGGCCTCCAACTTTCCGTCCTCGCTTCCTCCATTGGTCGGAGGGAGGCCGAGTTCGTCGTCAGAAGCCTCTAGAAGGTAACCTAGTTCCGGCTGCGACGACCCGCCTGGAGACGACGTCGTTTCGGACACGGGAAATGCCGCAACCTGTATCTCTTCCTCGAAGCTTTTAATCACCGAGTCAAGGTCCTGGATCGCCGGGTCACGGTCGGTAACGGTGTCCGAGTCGTCCAGGATGTTGAGGAGGTCGTCTTGGATCAGCTTAACCTCCTCCGACTCTATAACCAACTCGTCCGAGTCGACCCGGACAGGCTGCGGAGTGAACGACTCGTCCGAGTTCACCTCCGAGTTGGTCGAGTCGAACAGGGTGGAACCCGACTCGGGCGAGCAGGCAACTGAGTGACTCGAGTCGACTCGAACGAGTTTGGACTCGGGTTGGATATGCTTTGTTTCTGGGTCGTCCGAGTCATATCGGGGTCGTTTCCTATTGTGGTTGATGCTGTTGTCCATTGTGAACCAATGAGAAAAATGAAGAGTGGGTTTGGTTTGGTTTGGTTCCAGAGGGGACAAAGAAAACCCAAATCTAGGATTGTGTTTCGGGAGAGAGAGACACCAAAGAGAAAAAAGGTGTATAGAGAGATTGAGAGTTGTCAAAGCAACGAGAGAAAAGGTGGTGGGCAAGTATATTATTAAGTGATGTGGTGAGAGGTGGTATATATAGTAAGGCAAGAGGCAAAGATTAGTTAATATTTTCTAGAGAGAGAAAAATGGTTGTTTGGGAGATGAGAAAAAGATAGGGAGAGAGAGAGAGAGAGAAGTTGGAATGGTGGTGGTGGGTGGGTGATGAGAAAAAGGAAGAGAGAGAGAGAGAAGATTATCAAATTTTAGAGGGACCAAGAAAGAAAAAGGTTAGGTGGGTGCAAATGCAAATGGTATTTTCTTTCCTTAGATTTTGAAGTTGAAGAATGAGTAGGAGAGTTGAATTGTGGGAAGGTTATATATAATGGAGAGAGAGAGAGAGACACAGATAGGATTTGGCATTCAATTTTAAAATGGAAGATGCCGATAGGCGCGGGCACTGGCGGAGCCTTAAAATCCTTCACGGAAGTCTCGGACTTATTTTAAAATAAAAAATTAAATTAAAATAAAATTTATGTTGCCCACCTTAACGTATCTCTACTATAATAATTCTGTCAATTAACTAAATTTAAGTCTGGAGTTTGAGGTCCGTTCAGGACCCACCAATTTTGATTTTTCACTTCCCTCGCTTGGATCGGGTTGCTTGTGAATTGGATTGGGATAGGGTGGGAATGGTATGAGGCTTTGAGGCTTCGCTGTCGTTTTTGTTCTTGACGATTTCTTTGCTTATTTTAGTAAAAGCTTCAACAAAATCAAGTGCTTTACTTGATAAGTGCTTTTTTTAGGCTCCAAATTATGCAGTCAGCCAATCACAGTTCAATGTCGAAGCATTTACTGTTATTGCAATGCTGTTAATACCAAGTGCTTTTCCGAATTTTGTTTTTTCATTTTCTTGTTTAGATTACTAATACTAATTTACTATTGGTTTTCGTTACTAGGGTTTTATGTTATGGGGTAAAGTGCAAAACACAAACCTACTTTTTTTTCTTTTTTTTCTTTTTTCTGCACCAAAAAGAAGAAGGAAAAAAAAACAAATTAAAAAACCTACTCATCCTATGCCACTCCCATTCCTACTTACTTTTGTTGAGTAAATCAAGGATTTTGAAACTTAAATTTGATAAAATGGAATGGAGTGGAGAAAAAATATGTTTGTTTTCCCGCAAAGAGATGTCAACCCCACCTTTAGATTTGCTTGTATGAGTACAAGTACCAATTGCCAAGTTGATGGTCTTCGGCGTTGTTTGGTGACTCGAGGTGGATCAGTGTAAATCTATCCTTACGAATCACTCTTTTAAATAAAACTCGTAAAATATAATATGTTGTATTATTGTTCTATTTAATAAGTCTAATAACAACTTACTAAATTGCATTCACGATACTTGTTTAATTTAATTGATATAGTTCAATTCAGTTCGGCTCACAACGTCATATAGTACCGAGACCCTTCATAGAAGTTTTTCAATATAATTTAAAAAGCTTGGGATAAAAAAAGATAGTAATAAGTTAAAGTAAGAAAAAGTCATTGGATGACCTAACTCCTTATTTAACAAGTCATCTCGGGTTATCAAAAAACTTTATAAGAATTGTGGGACCTACACTCAATCGACACCTCGCCTAAACTACGTGTGTACGTGGAACTACCTCGAAGCGTAACCCAACGACTTGGCCAGCCGAATCTTGTAGCCGACTAGTGGAAACGGCGCCGACAAGAAGAACAAAAAGGAAAGTGCCTATCACAGCTTTCGAGAAAAAACCAGACAAGCCTGAGTCAGCTTCTGCGGCTTCGGCGCATGCACGTCGCCACATCATCCAAATCGTGGGACGTGTTACAAGAACCACAACCCTCGCCTTGGCCACGCGACCGATTCCCCACCGCCCTAGTCTTTATTTATTAAACTGATGACCAACAACGGCACTTCCGGTCAGCTAGTCGATATGCTCATGTGCCGAAAGTGACAAGGGATCACGGAACAATGTCGTTTTATTTTTCGTGGCGTCGTGGGGCTCACGAAGTAACGGGTGGCGTCGAGCCGTGGAGCCAATAAATAAATATCTGCATCTGCTTTTTGATATTTTTAGTAATTATTTTGTCAAGTATCTATTTGGTTGATGGAGCTCTTTCCATGTCATGGATGAGGAGGCCACACGCCAACTATTGAATCAATCAAGGAATTGGAAATTTGAAAGAGGACCAGCATTCTATTCTATTCTTTTCTATAATGTCTTGTTTTTTTTGGTCAAGTATTCTATGATGTCCATACTAGGCCACCTTTTTTAATTTCTTTAATTTATTCTTATTTATAGATGTGGAGTTAGCGAACTATAGTCAGGATTCAAACTTGAGTGTAAAGGAAGAAAGTTGAGGTTAAAATCAATCGGTAATGGGGAGATTTAGTAAAGTTTATGCTAGGTATATTTAAGTTTAAATGTGGAATGAGTGACTCACTATCTTAATTAACTGATCTAATCGATATTTAATGATATCCTTCACATTTAATAATAACGTGTAATGTGTGCAAATTAATGTGTTATCGTCTATCTCAATATAAAAAGTCATACAAAAAAACAATTGATAGTAACGTGTGTGGTGTATTGGAAAAGATGTGCAGGAGTTGGAAGTTGCATCCATAATATCTGATAAAGAGAATGAAATAATTGAAAGCAAAAAAAGTACAATTAATTGCATGCACATGTACAATTAAATAAGAATGAGGCGATCCATCCACCAAGCAACTGAACTGGAAACAGGTGGAATGAAAAAGCCCAAACAGGGAAATATTCAGTGGGCCACTGTAACATATTGGGAGGGAGAGGGCGCTGGAAATTGATAAACAGGTGGAATGAAAAGTCACATGCCCCAACTGCACATGATGATGGTCCTGGTCCTGGACTTAGAGGAAGGACCACATGTGAAGTGAGATGTTAATGTTATGTACTTGTTTGTTACATGCCCTAGCCTGGACCCGATTCTCCACCTTTTGCTTCATCCCAAAGCCATCCCCAAGTCCTTTCTTCCTCTTCTTCCACTTACAAGTTACAACCACCCATTTCCACATCACTCATTGAATAAATAATAGTTAGACACAGACGCAGGAACCTGCAACACCTACATGCTATCAATGGTCTCAGAACTGCCACGTGACGCAACTTGTATCCACTGGATTATAAAAGGTGCAATCATCAATGCAATTTGCAAGTCAAAAATACACAGATGGCAGAACCAAAGCCCCAAAATTGACGTGAGTGGATTGGAACCGATTCTTAGTCGTTGGATTTTGTATGTATATATTTATATCTGCCTTTTAGCTTTTTCTCCCTGTTTTACCCATTTGAAATTGTTAGTACAAAAGACACCAAGGCATAGTACAAGCACTAGCTACCAGTTGCTATGTAGTATGTACTGTCTATCAAGCATGAAGTCAATACTCCCCATCTCAGTGTAATATATGCTAATATAACCAAGGAGAGTAACCGAATCTCGAATTCGAGCACATGACCACACGGTCTTAACTAACTGGTCTAATGTACATCAATATGTTATTATGACGTGTAATTCTTTATTTATTAATATGTAGATGACCATGACCTATGAGCTTTATCCACCGGTGGGCCCATTTACCACTAGCTTCATCCCCTCGATCCTTTAATTTGAAACATGCATGCGTCATTCTTCAACCTTTAATTATTTTCTTGGAGATTTCAATCTATCTCATTCGCAAGTGCTAAAGTTGGTAAACTTGTTCACAGGTCTAAAATGACCAAGACTTTTTAGACGGCAATTTGCAAAAGGTGATGTTTCATTGATTTATGTTCATTATAACTTCGCTTTCAAGTTTCTGGGAATCGTATCCAACTTTGAAAAAAAATGTTTGAAGAAATTGCAGACTCCAGATCTGGACCATTCAATCTCTCTCAGTCTCAACCCTCTTTCAAAGGCAGCTACAGAATCTTGCTCCTACTTTGAATTTTTGCTTGGTGGTGAGGCTTTTTTCAAACCTAACCAAATCAAGGTTGCATGCGATTTTTTTAGGACACGTTCGGCTGTATCGAATTTCTGGAGGGTTCTTAAATATCTTTAAATTGATATAATCATGCATGACAGATACGGGTACATATATCTCATGTAATCAAGTCGGTCCATTGATTTTGAAGGCCATGTGCAAATATGGGTGTCGAGGCCCTATATATACAAGTAGGAAAAAAAAATCCATATAGAAACACAAATTTCTGACACGGGAAAAATACATTCGGAAAGAGTTTCTCAGAAAAATTTATTTAGTCACCCTTCCAAATCACAGAGCTGATAAATTGATTTTCCAATTTAAATGCTTGGTGAATTCTCATGTGAATAAGAGAGTGAGAAAATAACTGTGATTTTGGGGAAAGGGCTAAAGCTTAGGTTTTTGCAATCCAAAACTTGATGGAAGAGGGTGGTACACTGGTACTAAAAAGAAATGGCTTTATTTTGATGGAGGAGAGTGAGAAAGACTTGCTGAAAGAGAAAATAATATTAGAATGGTTTTGCAGCTTGAGAGTCGGGAAGAGGAAAACACAGGTTTCAAACCATAATGAATAAATAAAAAGAAGAATTGCAGTGTGAGAGTTGAAAAGAGGAAAATGAATTAAATTAGGGCATCTACTCTCTAAGTCGTAGAATTTGTTGATAATTAATATTCAATTCAATTTTGGTTTTGGTACGTTGCATGTGGTGTTGTGGGGTCATATTTAATATTTCATTTTTATTTTCATGTTTTAGTTAATTTAATGGGTTGACTTAGAAAAATTTGGAGACCCCTAAATTTTGGGGGCCCTGTGCGGTCGCACATCTCGCACACCCTATGGGCCGCCTCTAATCATGCCCAAACCTTAGC